TCTGGAATCCGGCACGAAATCGCTGGAACCGGGAAGAAAGAATGGAGACAGAGACAGAGGCGGAGGAGGAGGCGGGGCAGGAGGTGACAGTGGGAACGAGAAGACAGAAAACCGACCCAGACTAAGAGACCCGAAGGAAGCGCGAAGCGGCAGGAAAATGAGAGAAGAAACGCGGGAAAAGAAATGAAGAGCACGGGCTTGGAAAGGACTCGTCTAGACAGTCAGAAGGCAGAAGAGGAAAAGTGTAAAAACACTTAAAACGGGACAGACGTGGAGAAGGAGGAGAGACTGGGTGGGACTGGAGATGGGCATGGGGAGTGGGAGACAAGAGTGTGGAAACGGGAGGGGAAAGCTGGCCTGGGTTCCTGGGTCCCTTTCCCAGTCCCTCTGCCAGGCCCTACCCATCCGGGCAATTCCGTGCCCGAAGCCGGGTGCCACAGAGAGCTGGCATTTGCCCCAAGGGCCTGACTCCAGCCCGACCCGCTTCTTCCCCTCCAGGCTGCCAGAGGGGCATCCTTCCCCCAAGCCCCCTGCTCACAGGGGGCTCCCTGCACCCCAAGCCTGTCCCCCACTTCCCAAGCCTTAAACACCAAGTTGGAGGCACTGGGGGTTCGGGGCGTGCGGGGCCAGGCAACAGTGTCTGTCTGTGCTGACTCCACAGACAGGGTCACACAGCGTGAAAGAAAGAAATCCGAGGGCAACTTCGTAGGCAGGAGCTGGACTTCTAAAACCCCTTCCGCCCCGTAGGCCTCCATATTAAACCCCCGGGAGCCGCAGACACTGTATTAATTAGTGCAACCACCCGTGAAAAGTCGGGTTTGGAGCGGCATTCTTCGCCCTGTGTGAAAAACCGAGTCTGAGGAACAATTGTTCGCTTGGCCTGCTGCCGCTGGTAAATTACATAGCATTAAAAAAATAATGCTTTTCATATTAGGCACTAATTAAAGGTTGGGACAGCTTTAAAACAAGAGAGGGAGGGGGGGAAATCAAAGAAAATATAAAAATGTTCTTTCAAGAGTTATGGGAGGTTAATAAAGTGTGTCTGTTGGAGGGAGCCTACTTTGCCCCCAGCTACAGCCAGGCTGGAGCCGCTGCAATTGGGTCTCAATAAGATAATGATATTCCTTTCTCTGCTATTAAAAGCCTCCCAGTGCAAACTTAAAATGATTTATTTAATTTAGGAAATTATGAGGTGTAACTTCAAAGCCCGAGCCGTTAGTAATGGAAAATACCAGGTTGTTTAAAATTATAATAATAATTGTTTGGGACATCAAAGTGTTTTCATCAACAAATGCAGAGGGTCCGGAGGAGGAGGAGGAGGAGGAGGAGGAGGAGGAGGAGGAGGGTGGCGGGAGGCGGAGGAGGTGGATGGAGTTTGGATTTGATTATTAGGAGCCTTATCGGGGGCCGGCTCAGGATCCCCGCAGCCCCGGCCCGGGTCTGCTTTGAAGCGGGGCTATTTTGGAAAGTAATTTTCCTGCTTTTTATTTAGTTCCTAGCGGGGGGGGGGGGGGAGGGGGGGAGACGGGGCTGGGGGGGGGGAGCTCTGTGGCGAGGGGTCCAGTACTTGACAGCCGATTCTCCTCCCCGCCCTGGGACCGGCTTCATTCAAGATGCCCGCAGCATCACCAAGTGCGGGGAAACGGGCGTAATGAACCTCACTCCCCAGGCCCGTGATTTCAGAGGGTGGCCTGTGTGTGTGTGTGAGAGAGAGAGAGAGAGAGAGATTTCTGGGTTCTTTTATTCAGGGGGTTTATGCTTATTCCAGACCCAGCAGCGGAGAGGGAGGGGGTGGGGAATGGCCTCTCCACCCCGTGGCAAATGCGCGGCTTTTATGGCGAAGAATGGCCGTGGGAGTTGCATTCGGGCCGGCGAGGTCCCCTCAAAGGCCCTCTTTTCACGCTGGGCAGGCGGTTTGCCTTGTAAACGCCTGAGCCTCAACCAGCCAGGCCTTCGAGCCTACCTGCCCGCACCCCCTCTGAGGGCTGAGCGCTGGTCCCAGGAGGGGGAAGCGGGGTTCTGGGCGGGAACCCCTGGCTGTGAGGGGGGGAGGGAAGGGGATGCAGAGAGAGGCCCAGACCCTGCCTGGCCCTCGGGCTGTGGGACGGGGAAGGCGGAACAGGCCCCACATCAGGGCTGAGGCTCTATGTGGCTGCCTTGGCCCCCCTGCAGCCCGCCCCACGCTGGCCCTGTGCTCAGGGGGCCACTGCTCCGCCTGGGACCCGGCGGGTCGCAGCTCCCAACGGATGTGCAGTAGCTAAAGGCATCGGACCAGAGAAACCAGAACACGGTTTCCCTCCTTTCTCCCCGCTTTCCGAGAGCAGAGCTGTCTTTCCTGGAAGCTGTGGCTGGAGGCGGTGTGGGGGGGTGGGCCGTGTGCAGGCCCCCCGCAGCCTCTGTGGAGGGAGGCCCAGGGCCGGGCTGGGGGCCTGGGAGTCAGGGGCCTCTGCCCCAAGGTTGCTGGCCTGGTCTCTGAAGGTGGAACCGGCCTCCCTAAGTGGGGACCCCAGGACGCTGAACCAGCAACCTGGGAGGCTCAGAGGCCTCCAGAGCCAGGCGGGGTCCCCCACAACCTGGCTCAGCCTCAGCTTGGTGCCCCCTCCACCGAGCGGTGAGGGTGCAGGAGTCTGAGCCTGAGCAGGTCCTCTCCCTCCCCAGGGCGACTTGCCTTTGGGATTTGAGATTTCTGTTGTCATGCGCAGTCACCCCCACCCCACAGGCCAGGCAGCACTCAGGGCAGCCCGGTCTCCGGACTCCCATCCCGAGGCTGCGGGGTTCGGTGTGGGAAGGGAAGCTGGGAGGCGGGCTAACGGGGACCCAAGGAGGCTGACGGAAGGCGGAGGAGGGCAGGGCTGGGAGTTGGGGCAGGGGAGGCCGCACAGTGGGGAAGGACTGGGCACTTCCGAGGGCTCTGCCAGGACCGGAGCAGGAACGGGAGCCAGGGTTGGGCGCTCTGTGCGGGGCTGTGAGGCCTGAGGCTCAGGCCATCGGCAAGAAAATCTGGGCCAAAGCGCCAGCCTCCCCGCCTCCCCGCCTCCCCCTCAACCATGTCCAGGGCCCCAGGAGCTTCTCATCAGACTGGGGGGGGGGGCGGGGGGAGGCACCAGCAGCCTCTCCTCACTCACTTGTGCATCACCAAGTGGCCTGGAAGGTGCCCTCAGCCCCTGCCCACTGGTTCAGTAGGGTGCCTCACGCCCAGGCTGACCCCCTCGCATCCAGCGGAGGCTGCAAAGCAAAGGGGACTCAAATGAACCCCAGACCCTCCTGCAAACCATGAGGAAGAGGGTTAGTCCGGGCCACTCTGGGAAGAGGCTGCACGGGGCAGGGCCTCAGTGACACCCTCCGGAGAGCGCACCCAGTCACCACCCCCATGTGCCAGGAGCCGGGGGTCCTTCCCTCAGCGTCCGTTTGTTGTTGTTTTGGTAGAAGGTAAATTTCAAGTTCAAGGTTTCCACTTGATCATCTGCAGCGCTCAGATGCTGGCCCAATTTCACTGGCGTTACAAAACCCCCTTCCCTTCCAAGAGGAGCCAAACGCAGGGGAAGGATTTCAAAGTGTTTTTGCTATTTTCAATGGACCGGCCCCCTCCCCCGCTGAATCTGGCCAAAACGCTTGATTGATTCGCATTAAAATAATAAAAATCAGCAGCCCCCTCCTCCCCCCAATTTGGGTGGCATTTTTTGAGCAAAGCCCAAGGAAGAACAGAACAGAGCGAGATTGCCTCTTAAAAGAATTAAATTGGGACAAACGTGACTGCAATAAACAAATGTTTAATTTAATTCGGAATAAGAGATAAGAAATAACTCTTCAATAAAATATATAAAATTATACAAGACACCCTTTCAAAGGGATGAAGTGTACTGGTGGGGGGGGGGTAGGGACGGGAGATGGGGGGAAGATGGATGGGACGAAGCTAAATGGGCTGAGACACCCGGGTTCTTAGCAAGTCCAAACATGGCTTCACCCTCTGCCCCCCACACGTTACAAAAAGTATATAAATTTCCCTAATACGTTGAGCACATACAAGAGGTACACACACAGACAAAGCATGGCTTTTCTTTCTCTCTGGATCTACTCATTGTCCAGGAATACGGAGCACATAGGTAACGGTTACAGACATTAATTTAAGCAGAGAATTAACTATCCCCCCCCCCACATCCCTTTTGCAATGTGTGAGGACTGAGTACCTAGCATTTCACAGAAACCGTCCATTCCTCCAGACAGTGATCTGAAATGGAGTTGAGCAACAGCCTGGAGAGGAATTAGGAAGTACTTCCATTTCCCACCTTACCCCCCCAACCCCCCAGGCTGGCTCAGTCTTCTCAGCCCCCTTTTATTGATCTTAAAAAAGAAAAAGTAAAACTTTAACTGGGTAACAATGTGCCGGGGGAGGGGAGAGACAGGGCCGGATACAGAGCCTCTCATTAGTCTAATGCATGGAAGTCGGTTCGGTACCATGGCCCATGCCTGTCCCTCGAGAAATCTCAGTCCCTATCTATGACCTAGCCATTATTTGTCCAATTCTAATACGTTTTCCTTTAGCAAAAAGCCGATCATCCCGCCCAAATCACTGCCTTTCAGCAATTTTAATTTGTCTCCCCCTATAAGAAAAAAAAAACCCTACACAAATGAACGTCAGCAGTCTTTTAGGGTGCTATATATATATATAAAAAAGTATATATATAAATTTCGCCTTTCAAAATAACTTGGATTTCGACGTCCGCTGTATAAAAACGCGTTCCGTTTTATTATATATATTTATATAGAAAACCATCAGGGCCCATCCTGGTGAGAGGAGAGGGGTGTCTGGGAAAGGACGCCCAGAACACGGAGTTGGGGGCCTCCAGCCTCCAGGACGGGCCAGGCTGCGGCCTGCCAGCCAGGGCTGTTCAGGGCAGTGCGGTGAGGCTGGCAGAGCTGGGTGCTGGCGCCGCTGCTTCCTGGCGAGGGCGGGGCCCGTGGCACAGGCCTGGTCCGGAGTCCGGGCGGGCGCCTCTTCCTTAGGAGAGGTGGTACATGCCGTAGCCCACCGGGGTGGCATAGAGTCCCACGGGCGGGATGGGCAGCACAGGTCTGTGGAAGGGGTAGGAGGCGCCGTAGAGCGAGGCGGCCTGCAGCGGCGAGTTGATGGGGAAGGGGAGGCTGAAGCCCGAGGGCAGCATGGGCTTGGCGGCCATCTTCAGCTTCTCCAGCTCGGCCTCCTGCAGTCTCTTGGCCTTGGCCCTCCGGTTCTGGAACCAGATCTTCACCTGGGTCTCTGTGAGGCTCAGCGAGCTGGAGAACTCGGCGCGCTCGGCGATGGACAGGTACTGCTTCTGCCGGAACTTGCGCTCCAGCGCCAGCAGCTGCGCCGTGGTGAAGGGCGTGCGTGGCTTGCGGTTGGTCTTGTGCTTGCGCAGCGTGCAGGCGGTGGGGCTCAGGTGTCCTGAGGGCAGAGAGAGCGGTTAGCAGGGCCAGGGCCCCTCGGCATTCTTCAGAGATACCTCTGTCAAAACCTGGGGTGGTTTCTTTCTCTTTTTGAGGGGGGAGGGGGGAGTAGGATGGAGGACCATATTTAAATAGAGAAATTAACTCATTTAAAAAAACTGAGGCTCTTCATAAAGCGTCTGGGAATGTCATGGTGTAACAAAACTTTATGGGAAAGCAAGAGCCTTCGAGCGATGGAAATAGAACCCCTAGGAGCAGGCTCCTCCGAAGTCCAGGGCGTCAAGTGGTTCCTAAGACAACACCCCATCTCTCTGAGCATAATTTACCCTCGTTAAAATGGGGGGGGGGGAGGTAGCTCACTTGGTCAGAGCAGTGGTTGGCAAACTCATTAGTCAACAGGGCCAAATATCAGCAGCACAACGCTTGAAATTTCTTTTGAGAGCCAAATTTTTTCAACCTAAACTTCTAACGCCCAGGCCGTGGTATTTTGTGGAAGAGCCACAATCAAGGGGCCAAAGAGCTGCATGTGGCTCGAGAGCCGCAGTTTGCGGACCCCTGGGGTTAGAGCATCTTCCTGAAAAGCCAAGGTTTGGGTTTAAATCCCTGGTCAGGGTACATACACGAACCAGCCAATGATTGCATAAACAAGAGGAACAACACATCGATGCTTCTCTCCCCCTCCCTCTTCTCAATAATATTGGGAGGATGGATTCGGAATAATCCTCACTTCCCGTGGATGCTGACCTATCCCATCTGAGAGGGGAAATGAAAGGGGTCTTATAACGGCACCAGAATGCATTGGACTGACAGGACGTACTGGCCTGCCTCCGCATGCTGGCGGAGGGTAACCCTGCAGCCCGGTCTGTGGCGAATTACTCGCATCTTGCGGGGGGGGAGGGGGAGAGAGCAGCTCCCGGCAGTAAACCACCGCAGCTGTCATCCCATCCCGGCCTCAGATGATGAAACGTGAACATCGCTGCACAGATGGGGCTAAGCTGCTTGGCCGGGTGCTTCTGGAATATAAACTTCACCCAGAAGGAGGGAGAAATTAGCTCGCCCGTAAACGTCAACGTCAGGGGGGGATCTCGCCGCCTCTGAGCGGAGAGCGAGTGCTGACATTCCGTCACCCCGGCCCGTCGCTCTGAGTCAGCGCTCCGCGGGTCGCCCGGATTCAGAGCAAGGCGATCACGAGCCACATAAAGGCCCGCCAGCGGCATCCGACTCACCGGCCTCGGGGACAGAAGCCACGGGACCGGGCACCTGGCAGGCCCGGGCGTATGCGCGCCCAGGGCTTCTTTCCCCGAGGGGAGGGGAGGGAAGGCGGGCGGCGCTGGGGTCAGGCTGCTAAACAATTAGCTCGCTGCCTCCGGCTTTTACGAGCGGGGCTAATTTTCCGAGTGGAGCCTCGGTTCTAGTCACTCCAGAGGACTGGAGGGGAGAATGTCGCATTTCTCGTTTTGTGACTTGGGTGGCCCAGAGAGTTTACACTTCAGACGGGAGGGTGACACAGCACAAGTCCCGGCCGGCCGCCGCTTCCAGCCAGCAGTGGGCCGGCCTGCCCTGAGTGCTGTGACTAACCAGCACCGTGTTCAGGGACTGGAAGGAAAGAGGCAGTGGGCTCGGCCATCAACCAGAAAGCCGGCATTCTGGGAGGGATGGGCGAGGAGGGCGGCAGAAGCGTACCTTCTGCATATGCTGATGCCTGAGTAAACCGGGGTACCCGCTCCTTAATTTACAAATAAACTTAGCCACACCATCTATGCCTCCAGGACCGGGAATGCCCTCAGCCTGGGGACGGCCGGGCTCAGGAGGACCCGGCGGTGGGCTCCGGCCCGCCCGTCCCTCCGGGGGCTGTGTGTGAATTATAAATCAGGAGATGGGATCGCACACGTGCATCAAAGCTGAAAAGTTGGGAGGCTTCCTCTCGGGCCCACCACTCCGCACTCCCCCCAACCCCCCATTTTAAACCAGGCGGAGGAAGGATGCGATTATACAAAGCAAAACAGCATTTATCCTACTTCCTCTGAATAACAAAACCAGGCCCGGCGGCCGCCCCAGGCGCCCGCCCGGGAGCTCCGGGCCCAGGCCCCCACCCCCGCACTCCCTGCACTCCGGCCTCGCAGGCCCGGAGCACCAATAACCCGCTTTTTGTGTGTTAAAATGCAGTCCTTTCTCGGAACCTCCGGCTTTTCTGCTGGGAAGGTCAGCAGCTCCAGGGCCCAAGGCGGCCTTACCCAGCAGGGACGCGGGGCTGCGCTCGGTGGCGGGGCTGTTTACAGAGTCCGGCGGGGACGGCGTCCCGGAACCTGGAGGCCTGAGGAAGTGGGCCTTCTGACCTCCCTGGAAGGCCCGACGCTCCATGTGCCGCGGGCCATGGGCCCGGGCCTGGGAGCCCGTGGGGCTCTCGGTATTTGTCGGACCTACTAAGTCCCTTAGTCTGAGCCTCTATCTCCCCATCAGTAGAATGGGTGAGCAGCACGGCCCCCCGGCGAGGCTCAGAGGAGGACGGTTGAGCAGGCCCGGCAGAGCCCTGTCATTCCGGGCGCCCCGTCTTCTCGGAAGCCGCAGGACTCGGCAGAGAATCCTCCACGGCTCCCAGAAGCCACACCGATCAGATAACACGGATAAAAGTGTCGTAAAGCACGGGGGCACACATGTATTTAAATTCCTTGAGTCCTTAATCCTCACGCCCTTGGAATCCTTGGGAGTCTCTCGCAGGCTGGAGACAGGCGCCGGAGGGGACAGCCTCCGAAGCCGGGTAGCCGGCCTGGTTTCGTTCACAAAATACGGTGTGTCTCCAGCCTGGAGGCTGGCGGGTGGGAGTGGAGAGGCATCCTCTGATGACTTTGCACAAAATGTTCCTCCGCAAGCCCCCTCTTGCCCACCTTCCTGCAGAGGAGCGGCCGGTGGAGGGCTCTTCAGGGCCCGGGGAGAGACTTAAAAGTTGTGAGGGTGACTTCCAACCTGCAGGAGGCCCCAGGGCCCCAACGTGGATGCTGAAGCTGAAGGAGCCACCCCTCCCCTGGGCCGAATCCCCAACCACCAGCCCGCCCGCCTCGTTGCAGGAAGCGGGGTGCAGATGTGAGGACCTCTGCTAGGTCCCCCTGGGGAGAAGGATCCGAGGTCTGGGGGCCAGGGCGCCCCAGAGCAGCCTGGCTGGGACACCAGGGCCCCGGCCCAATCCGGCCACTGCCAGTCAAGTCAGTCTTCTTAAAACCCAGTCTGGGTGTCTGAGAAGGGGGGGGGGGGGTGTTTAACCCCAGGTCCCCGCCGCCTCTGCCTGCACCTGGAGGCTCCAGGATGACTGGGTCTGCTGAGCCGGGCGCCCAGGAAAACCTGTAATTACCCCTGAGCCCAGCGGGCACCCGCGCTGCGGCCCGGCCCGCTCCCAGCGAAAAGGGGGACTTGGTGGGCGAGGCGCGGGCATCAGCCTCCGCCGCCTTCCCTTCGCGGGACCCAGGGGAGATGAGGATTTCCATCCAACATCGGGCTACATTCGGCCAGCTCACCGTCACAAGGAGGGCGCACACACCTCGCGTGGCTGTGAACTCATACCCCCTTCCCTCTCCAGACCCTGGCGGGCACCGAGACAAGAAGAAAATAAGCGAAGTGACCGACCCGCACACCCGGCGGGGGCGCGCCCAGCACGGACCGGCGAGTCCGCAACGGCGAGCGACGCGCCGCTCCGCGCGGGGACCCGGGCCACGCGCTGCGCCCACGGCGCGTCCGGGAGGGGATGCAGCCGGCGCCGGAGCCCCGGGGGCAACGGGGGCCACGCCGGCTGCGCCTGCTCCCCGGGGCGCACGGGGCAGAGGGACCTCGGGGCCCCCGGCCTGGACAGCCGCCCCGGCTGGCTCCCCCCGGCCCCCGGCGTCTCGCCCGCCCGGCGCGCACTCACTCGGCGGCGGCGAGTATCGGCCCGGCTCCGGCATCCACGCCGCCGCGTCCTCCGAGGTCTCCGACTTGACCGCGGCGGCCTCGAAGGGCTGGGCCCGCGCGCCGGGGCTGCGCGCCTCGCGGGCGCCGGGTCCCGGCAGCGGCGGCGGCGGCGGCGGCCGCAGGGTGGCCGCGGCGGCGGCGGCGCTCTCCCCGGGCCGCGGGGACGCCTCCTTGGGCGGCTTCTTGTCCGACATGAGCGCCTCCACGCTGAAGGGCAGGCTGGAGACCCGGACGCGGCGCTCCTCCGCCGGCCCCTCGGCGGCCCCGGGCCCCGGGCCCTCCTCCTCCGCCGGGAACAGGTCCTTGCCTCGGGACGGAGAAGCCATGACGCCTCTGCCCCCGCGGAGGTCCCGGCGCGCGACTCCGGCTGGCGGCCCGGCGGCGGCGGCTCCAACTTTCTGGGGGGGAGACGGGAGGGCGCGCCGGGCGCCGGGCCTGCGCTCCGAGGGGAAGTGGGAGACCCGCGCCCGCCAATCCGCGCCCGCCCTGGCGCCGACGTCACGCACGCTCGCCTCCCATTGGCTCCCGCGGCAGAGGCCGGTCCTTTCAGCCCTCCCCCCCCCGCCCCCTGTTTGAAATAAATTAGGAGTTAATTACAGGAGCAGTCGGCAGAGTGGTTATTAGGCGATCCCTCAAGGGTTATAATCACGCCAGAACTTAAAGAAGTCCAGGGCGTCATTAAGGCCGATTATTGAAAGAGGAAGTTCTCCCCGAGTCCCATTTCTTTCTCTCCTTTTTACCCCCTCTTTGGAAAAGGCACCCCGGGTCTGGGTCACACCCCTCCCCGCACCGCACCGCGGGAACGCGTTCAGAGTCTGCAGCTGATGGTGCAAAGACGTGGAAGGAAGCGCCCACGATGTATGCACCAACGCTGGGCCGCCTTTGCCACGTTAGGGGTCGGCGCTGAAGCCGGGCCGGCCTCCCTAGGAGAGGGAATGGCAGTGCAGGGCGCTTAGAGGGTATTTGGCTCTTAGGTTAGGAGTGCCCACGGGCGCCCGCTAAGCCCCCTGGCAGAGGGGAGGCCACCGAGAGAGACCCAGAGGGAGAGGGTCAGGGGCTGCCCTGTCCCAAACAGTCCCGACTGGACAAACGAAGCCAGCGGTCGGTCCCGTCTTCCACGCGAAGGGGAAACCAGTGCCCTTTGGCGTTGGCCGGTTCCTTTCCCCTGAACCTCCTTTCTGGTGGCTCCTGCCCAGCCTTTCCCTCCAGCTCGGGCGCTTTCTTTCTGTGTCCCTGCGTTTGTCTGGGCCCATGTTTGTCGTGTGCGTTTGGTGCCAGTGTTTGCCTTGGAGGAAGACACGGGAAGAACAGGCACGATAGTATCGAATGCTTTCCTCTCTCTCTCAATCTCCCCCCGCCTCTCTCTCTCTCTCTCTCTCTCTCTCTCTCTCTCTCTCTCTCTCTCTCTCTCTCTTGTCTCAGAAGTACAGGGTTCCGAGTTTGCACACCCCAGGCCTCGGGACCTTTTGGGGAAGCACATTTTCACACATTACACCTGGTTTTAAAAGGAAGGAGAGAGAGAGATCTCACCCGACTCCCAATTGTACCTGGATAATTCATCTCAAACCTCTGCTTCTCTGCCCTGGGAAGGGGAGAGCGGGCCTGGGGTGTCTGCAGGCCGCTGCGCTGAGATTCCAGTGACTCCCGGCCGGCAGCTGCTGGCCCCCGGATAGGAACGATTTTTCCTGCACGTGAGCAGGTAACTAGAAGCCCCCCAGCCCAGGGCCCTGCACACAGCACGCGCTTGCTAAACCACAGCCTCGTAAGGAAGGTACTGACATGGCCAAGGCTTGGAGGCTCCTAGTACCTCAGGTCTTAGAAACTTGAGCCCAGACCCACTGCCAGAACACCTCTCTGATGCCCTGCTTCCTCCTCCTCCTCCCCCTCCCTTCCCCCCCAACCTCTGCCTGGAGTGAAACTGCTGGGTCAGGGTAGGCAAACAGGCATTATCTGAATCTCCCGAGGATAAAAACAGCCTGCTTGGCCGGCTAATTCAGTGCGATTATAAACTGTCCCTGGAAGTTAAAGAGAAAAGAAGTTCTAAGCACGGCCTTCTCACCCCCTCCAACCCTGCCCCCCCAGTCCCTTTCCCTCCACCAGGAACAAGCACATTCTGTTCTCTTTTTTTCCTCCAACAAAGTGGAAAACCAGAGAAAGTTGAACAACAACTGTGAGAGCTATCCGGAGACCTGTGCGCTCGCTCTCCCCTGAGTCACCTCGGAGGATGGCGGGCCTGATAGGCATCTGAGATACGGGACAGGTAAAGCCAGATTGTGACCTGTGCCTCCTAGACAGGTGCCCAGCCGGCACAGGCTGCCGGGCTTGGAAGCGAACCTGGGATTCGTTGAGCCCCCGGGTGCCACGGTGAACCAAAGGCTCCGGCTGCCCGTTGGGCTGTGCCCGGCCACCGCTTTATGGCTCTGCAAACTCCTCGCTCATGTTTGTCCGTTTCCCAGAGCTCGCTCCTGGGAAATGAAAGTAAAAAGCCGCGTTGCTGGGGCCCTTTTATTTGAATGGGTGAGCTTTTCAGGGAAAGGGGGGAGGTAAGGTCTCCAGACAGGAAAAGAAACCCACGAGGCCAGACATAGGAAGATGGGGTAGAGATGAAAAAACAAAAACAAGCAAGCAAGCAAACGTGCAAACTCCTCTTGCCAAGCTCTGCCCCTGAACAGGAGTGATGCCCAGGGGCACCCAGCCTGCCCCACTCCTCTCCTCTCCCGGCAGCTCCCTCCCAGCGCCCTGCTGGGGTGAAGACGGTCCGGAAGGGGACTCACTTCTGCTGGGAAAAGGGTGGGACCTCAGCACAGCGGGAACCCTTTCTGGAGAGCCCTGTCCTGCATTCCTGGCCCGGAGCTTGGGGACTTGCACGCCAGCCTTCCCCCCAGCCTGCTTCTTGGCCCCTAAAGTCAGAGAACCCGCACCAGAGAGGGCTCTTAAGGTGATTCCATTCAATAGGCTGCATAAAGGTGCGGGGAAATCGATAGGAAACATTGTAAGCAAAAGCAGTAATAATCTATCCACTGCGTTCTCTGGGCCCGCTCCCCTAAGCGCGGCGCGCCGCCCGCCTGCGGCAGGTCCTGCGGCTGCTCTGTAAGCCCTCCCAGCGGGCGGAGGACGGGCGGCGGGGCCTGCGTCCCTGGGCGGAGTGGGTGCAGCCCTTAGCGGGGGCCTGGCTTTGGCACTAAGGGGACATCCTCGTGGGCAGGAAAGGGGCTTCCAGTGGGAACGCGGTCACACCAAGCCCGGCGCTACTGGATGCCTCGGTGCCTGGACCTCTCCCCACCCTTCAAACACACACACACACACACACACACACACACACACACACACACACACCCCGTCTCCTCGGTTCTAACGCCCCGTTCGGGGCGGAGATTCTAGTCTCCATTTCCCAAGGTTACGATGCACTGAGTATGCACCGCGGGTCACGCAGGTAAGAAGTGGGGGGCCCGGGAATGGCGGGCGCGGCCCAGGCCCTGCGCGCACCCCCGCAGCTTCCCCGGTCCGCTCCCCGGGGCGGTGGGCACGCGCCGGGGCCCCGCGTGGAGCGGCGGCAGGCGCACCGCCAGCCCCGGGGGAACCCTCCTGCAGACCCCGGGGGAACCCTCCTGCAGACCCCGGGGGAACCCTCCTGCAGACCCCGGGGAACCCTCCTGCAGACCGGGAGGACGCGCGGGCCGGGCGGCGGGGGCGGAGGCGGGGGAGGGGGCCGGAGGGAGGGGCGGAGACGGGCCGGGGCCGCGGGCCGGCGCCAGGCGCGGGGAGATGAAAGGCGGGCGCGGGGAAGGGGCTGCGCCGGGTGACCGGCTCCAGCCGCGCCGGGCGCCCCGCCCCGCCCCGCCCGCCCGGCCGCCCCGGGCACAGGCGCTGCCGCTCCGGAGCCGCCGTAATTGCTCTCGGCCCGGCGCTCCGCCTGCGCGGAGCCGGCACTACCTCGCTCCGGGAGGGATGACAACTCGCCCTAATGGGACAGCCCGGGTCCCGGAGGAGGGACGGTCCCTCCTCAGGGGCCGCTCGTTCGTTAGCGGCCTGTCCTCTCGAACCCGGGTATCAGGAGCGGGCAGACTAGCGGGCGCCGGCGTCCGCCTGGAATTCCGCGGCGCAGCGGCCCCCGCCCCTCCGCTGTGTGACCTCGGGCGGAGGGCCGCCCCTCTCTGAGCTCCTGTCCCTCACCTGGGTGCGGAGACCAGAGCGGACCTGGGACGGGAAAGATCACCTCCTGAGTGAGGGAGCTGGAGGGGGTAAAGCGGCAGCGGGGCCCAGCCTGAGGTTCTGTGGGGGATGCGCCCGTCGCTTGGGAAATTCTGGACGATCAAAGGCTTTTTTACGGCCCCGCCCGCCGGCTGAGGTGGGGACTGCAGACCAGGCCTTTGCAAAGCGCCCAGGTCGCAGGGCCTGGGCCTTCACTGGCTCCCATTCTACAGATGAGCTGGGAGCTGCGGTGGGCGAGCCTCCCGCATGGTCCCCTGGAGGAGGCTGGGACCAGGATTTCCTGGGGAGGGAGGGGGAGGAGGGAGAAGACATGGAAGGGCACAGTGCCAGTCTGAAGCCGGAGCAAAGGGCACAGGAGGGCAGGCCCCGGGTTCTCCTCCCGCAGGTCTGTGTTCAAGTCCAGCTCACTCCCTACCATTAGCCACTTGGGGGGTTGGGGGGTGTCACTGACTCTTTTCAGAAAACGGGCCCAGTTACGCCCAGGCTACGGCGTGGCTGGTAAGCACCACTGAACACGGATGAGTGGCCCGTGTGCAAAGCAGCCCTCCCCGGGGTGGCTGTCGCAGCCCTCCCCTGCAGCTGTGCAGGCCGAGCGAGACACGGCCAGGCCCTCCTTCCCGTGGGGCTCTGGCAGGCAGTCACTGTGGTCTGCACGGGTCTCCTCACCTGCAGGCCGGGCGGGCCTAGCATCCAGTCCATGCTTCCACCGTTATCATTTCTGAATCATCCTTTATATCTCTTTCCCTCCCCTCAATAGGGCCCCCGGGCACCACACATTTCTGGGGTCCAACAATCCAGCGTTGGGCAGGGTCTCACTGAGACTATGACTCTTCTTAGGCTTTTATTTTTTAGCTCAGTAGAGTGGGAGTAATGACCCATCTCTCTTTTTAAAAAAATATATTTTATTGATTTTTTTTACAGAGGAAGGGAGAGGGATAGAGAGTTAGAAACATCGATGAGAGAGAATCATTGATCAGCTGCCTCCTGCACACCTTCTACTGGGGATGTGCCCGCAATCCAGGAACATGCCCTTGACTGGAATCGAACCTGGGACCTTTCAGTCCGCAGGCCGGCGCTCTATCCACTGAGCCAAACCGGCTAGGGCATGAGAAGG